GCCACTGACGATTCAAATGAGAGTTTTGAGCAGTGTAGAGTAGCGCTTGTTTATCGTTTCTCCGATCACAATGATTGTTTACGTGGCACGATATGCAATACAACGCATAAAAAGACAGTATAAGTCATTATAATCAGTAATTATGTCCCCACTGGACGCAAAGGAGACATGTTTCAGATTGATCAATCATGCTCTTACTAAACGTGGTATGTCTAAAATGTCATGGTGTCCTGCACTGCAGTGGTTTCAACTGTTTTTGCTTTTTGGACCTCAAGTGGCAAAATAAAAATTCTAAATGGTTTAATATACAGTGTGCTTACAATAAAACATTTACATGTATTAATATTACAGTGACAGGCCTAGTAGGTCATTGTGTGCATGTAGCTTAAACAGCAAAGTGCTAGCAATGCCCTGGGATTCCCAGGGAAATCATATAGACAAAATTGAATATATATGATGTTTAAAAATATGCCATATTACATATACAATATTAATGTAATGTAACACATATGCATTTAAAAAAATGAGTGATTACCTTGTCACGGTCAATGTTTTTATTTTTGTCCATCTTTGCTTGTTTCATAGGACTCTTCACCTCGAGTATCTGCAAAATTGTCATAATTTAAATACATTACTATATATATATATATATATATATCATCTTTCAAATGTTTGGGGTCGATAAGATTTTTTTTATGGTTTTGAAAGAAGTCTGACCAAGGCTGCATTTATCTGATCAAAACTACAGCAAAAATGTGCTCAATATTGATACATTTTTGTTAGTAGGGCTGGGCGATATGTCCAAAAAAATTATCACAGTAAAATTTTTCATGTCAATCGATACTGATAATTATTACAATAAATTTCAAATCTTTATTTCTTTCAAGTTTAAAGGCAGATTTTTGCTCCTAACTGAAAGCCTAAACTGTGGTTTTAAAGGAGTCATATGATGCGATTTCAAGTTTTCCTTTCTCTTTGGAGTGTTACATGCTGTTCGTGCATAGATAATATCCCTAAAGTTGCAAAGACTAAAGTCTCAAACCCAAAGTTATATTCTTTATAAAAGTTAAGACTTGTCCACACCCTCCTAAAATGCCTCGTTTAAACACGCCCCCACATGTCTATGTCACTGTGTGGGAAGATTTGCATAACACCGCCCAAATGTATATGCAAAGAAAGAAGGCGTAACTTTGATTCTCACTGTAGTATTGTTACTGCTGCAGCCTTGTCATGGAGACGCTGTGTGTTTCATTGTGAAAGCGAAACTACTTTGTTTGGCCTTCCAAAAGAGGACACAACTAGAAATCAGTGGTTAAGTTGTATTTACAACACTGTTCAAGAGCGGTTCAACCCAAATATTCAGATCATGTGTGCAGCGCATTTTACGGAGGACTGTTTCCTGAACCTGGGAAAGTAGCCTACAATGCCGTCTACACACAAAGGCTGTTTCTATAAAGTGGGGCAGTTCCAAATTTGCAAGGACAGTCTGGCGCTTCTGACTCACAGCCTGTAAGTACGCTTTCATATTAAAATAATTTGCCACTGACGATTCAAATGAGAGTTTTGAGCAGTGTAGAGTAGCGCTTGTTTATCGTTTCTCCGATCACAAACGCAGGCATGGTTTTTTGTTTACGTGGCACGATATGCAATGCAACGCATAAAAAGACAGTATAAGTCATTATAATCAGTAATTATGTCCCCACTGGACGCAACAAATGCCTCGTTTGTAATGGGTTTTTATTGGTTTTGTGTAGTGGTCGACCGATATTGGCTTTTTGACAGCCGATGCCGATGCTGATATCTTGAAAAGCAGGGTGGCCGATGGCCGATATAAAGCATTTATTTTAATTAATATTTAAGAAATTTTAAATAATTTGAAATCAAGAATTTAATGTTTAAAGCCTTCGATTTGCACAGACCGAAAATCACACAGAGAACACGCGATCATGCAGGTCACATGCACACTTCACAAGATCTCACAACTGGATTCGACTAAGTCTGCAAGGTTTGTGAAATTAAATGTTCATTAGTCATTCAAAGATTTGTTTAAATGATATAAATGCGTATTTGCTGAATGCTGACGGCAAACGAGAAAGTATTATA